ATGGTGTTATTAAGCATACTGAGGCCTGATTCTGTCCCTTCTACTCTGATGTACACAACCAACTGTAGCCATTTGGAATTCATTCTCTCAGCTGACACTTGGTAGGGGAGTGATATAACCACCATGTAGGAAGTGTAAGACTGGGATAGCTTGATTTGAAAGCACTGCAGTTCCCTCTTTGTAATGAAAATAGTGTGCACTAAATGACTAACAAAGGAAACCACTCAGAGGAATGCTTATATTAAAAGTGTAGAGCCTCAGCAGGACCACAGTAGTCAAGTATCCTAAACTGAAGCCCTGGCATCTTCTGTGAATTGCTCTTGATTTCAACTACTAGTCAGTGAATCTAGGACTAAACTAGAATGGAGGTGTGAGATGCAGACAAAATTAGGAGCTGAAACAACCCTCTATGGAAAATACAGGGAACAGGCAGCTTTGGGAAGATTATGCTGCAGTTTGGTTAAGTGCTTAAGAATTGCAAAAACCCAAATCCCACACAGGGATCAAAATAAAGTATCACATCAGCATATATTGAAATAAGGAAGATGAGAATTTTGGTTTTCTTATTAAGTTGTTATGAAAAATTCTGTCTAGCTTTCCAAAGAAAGCCCCTGACCTGTATTGCTGTTGAAAAAAGGGGGTCAGTTAATTTTTTTCCTGTAGCCTTCCTTGGACTGTACCAATGATTTCCTTCTTGCAGTGAGCTCTCAAATAATAAAATATTCCAAAACAATGAGATTCGATCTTCTATATGCTATTGTTTGTGAGTTGCAACTTTGTTGTCTTCAAAATTCAGTTTCTTAAAGAATCCCTTGATGATTTGAGGAAAATGAAGAGCTTTTCTTTATGCATACTGTTCACTTCAAAGAGAATTTATTCTGTCTAGAGGAAACTAGTATGTTCCATTATCATAGCAGGAAATTCATTCTGAAACCTTTTTTGCTCAGCAGGATCCCTGTGTATTTCCCCCATTCTCATTATACATGTTTTGGCATGAGCATATTATATTTTAGCTGATCAAGTGCAGAAGTCTGATGAACATGAATTTTGGATCAAGGTGAGGGTCATCTTTGTAACCTGCACTGAAAGGAACTTTATGGAGTAACTTCTCCCAGAGGAGAATATTTCTGTTATTCAGTGGCCCAGAGGCAGTGGAACAAATCTTCTTCCATCCTCATTTTAATATCAGCTGCACAACAGCAGTACAAAATACTGGATTAGAACCAAACATACCATGTAACTGAATTGTGTACTCGGATCCCATCCCTCATACTGCTTATCAATGCAGGTTGTTAATCATGCCTTTCCTTATGTTCTTTGCTTTTTCCTCTCCCACTGTTTTGGTTCTCTTCCTCCCCTCATTCAGATCTTTCCCT